GTAGAGACGGGGTTTCACCATGTTGGCCAGGCTGGTCTCAAACTCGTGACCTGTCTGTCTCAGCCTCCCAAAGTGCTGGGATTACAGGTGTGAGCAGTTGGGCCCAGCCTTGTCATAATCTCTTACTGGTTTTGGGAGAAGTAAGAAGTTGACTCCCTCCACTAAGAGCTTCAGTGCTATTTTTTCTTTTTTTTTCTCTCTTTTCTTTTTCTTTTTTTTTTTTGAGATGCAGTCTGTCTTGTTGCCCAGGCTGGAGTACAATGGCACGATCTCAGCTCTCACTGTCCCTTCTATGAGAAGACGATGAGCCCAGCATTTTTGGCCCCCAGGTCTTTTTATGATGCTTCCAGCACAGCCCCCTGCAGGCCTCTGTCTTCCTGGCTCTACCATGAAGTGTCCGCTGCTGGGGTCACTCTGTTGGGTGCCATCCAAGTGGATGTGGTCATTTTGGTCCCTGCCCTGGAGTTCTAACCCCAGTGATGTGAAGGAAAAAGACCAGCAAAGAGAAGCAGCTTCACAAAACCTGTTTCAGTAGGTTATGTTTTTATTTTACATTATTGGTAAGACAGGGAACAGGGCCAAGACCTCTGCACTCCCCTGGGAAGGACAGTCAGGAGAATTAGATACATCTAAAGTGGGCAGAGGACGGAGGTCAGATCTTCCTGGGAGGTGGCTGGAAAGACTTGGGCTTAAGCCACGGGAGCCAGGCCGACCTGGTTGTTTGCCCTGTCGAAGACAGTGAAGTACTGGCGGATGAAGACATCACCCAGGATCCAAAGCTCTCCAGATTCGGTGGGGACGTCCATGCCCTGGAAGCCGCTGGTGCAGCTGCCCTGGCTCTGGAGAAAAGGAGAATAAAAGTGGAGTTGAGACACCGATTCAGCCGTGACAGGCGCTGGGTGATAAACATCCAGGGCGCCCTGGTCCAGCTGCAAGGCACGTGCAAGGAGGAGCTTCCTGGCTCAGTGTCCAGGGACTCGGCTGTTGTTGGCCTGGAGCTGGCCTGTAGAAGCTGTCCACAGCACGATTGGTTTCTATGCATTACTGGACATTATCTGGCGTTTCTGGCAGACACAGGAACCCTGACATCAGCATCAGAGCTAAGGGACTTGGGGAGAATTCAGCTGGTAGGAAGGAGTGTGAAAACCCTGCCCATACAGCCTTTTCTCATGATTATTGTGATCCTGACCAGGGGCAAACCGGAGGAGCTGTTAGCCTCTTGGCTCACTAAGTCACTGGGCTGTGACCTTGTCTGCACGTCACCTGGGGAGCTTTGAACTCCCGTAGCCCCATCCCATTGCTCAGGCCTTGCCCTCTCCTAATGTAATCAGAATCACTGGGGGAGCCCAGGCATCGGTGCTTCTTGTTGAGTAACATCAGTCCACAGGCAAAATCAGTTTTCCACCTGACGTTATAATAGAAGGGAGAGTTTTCCTGTGGCTCGTACAGCTAAAGATTTGCTACTTGGTAGAGATGGTGGGAGTGTCGGAAGCCCCAGCCTGTGGAAATGAGGATTTCCCTTTACCCAACCCTTGGTAGCTCAGTCTCACTTGGATGTGATCAGTCTCACCTGGTTAACCTAACCGCACTCTGAGGGTGGGGAAAGCTGCCATGTCTACATTTTGGATGAGAAAACTGAGGCTGAGATGAGCTGTGGCTTGCTGAGAATCAATGGGCTGGTAATTCAGACCCAGGACTTGGACCCAGGGATCCAAATAGAATCCTCTTTTCCCTCCATTAACCTTTGCTTCACTTGTTCCCTTAGGGGGCTGTATCCGAGTTCTTATTCCTGCATTTGTTTTTAATCTGTTCCTTCTCTCCGGAGCTGTCTGGGGCAGATGTTCGTCTGCCTCTGCCTCTCGGCTTCAGCTGGTGGAAGCGCACTTTCCCTCTGCAGAGGGGGACTCTGTGGCCACATTGTGTGTGAGCCCCTCTAGTGGATGGTCCAGAGCCCCCTCACCTGCAGGATGTAGGCACTGGGTGGCAAAGGGTACTGGACTCCGTTGATGGTGAAGACGATGTCGGGCAGGCTGCTGATGGCTGAGCAGCTGACCACCATCTGGAAATAGTGAAGTGAGAAAAGTTGGAAGGGTTTTGGTCCCGTGTGCCTGGCACACCCACTATTTGAGTGTAGAACAGAGCCGTCGGGGGCTGGACTCACCTCGCCGTCTGAGTTCTCACTGGCTCCGATGTCGCTCTGGATGTTGGCAATGGGGCTGGTTGGGCCGGTCAGCAGAGAGGTGCCGGTGTCAACAATGGCCTGGCAGCCCTCAGCGCAGGCGATGGCCTCTCCGTTCATGGTGATGCTGAGGGCAAGAAGCAAGTGAAGGTCCCTGAGCCCTCAGGGGTACATCTCTCCAAGGGGGAACCAGGAGGTGACCCCAGACATTTCTTCCCCACCCATCCATTGGCCAGTGCGTGAAATTTCTGTTCCTCTCGTTTACACACTCATTCATCCTGCATTCATTTACGCAACAAATATTTTGCAAGTGCCCACTCTCTGCCAGGCATGGGAAACGCAAAGCTAAACCAGACAGCCTCACAGTTCCAGGCTGCAGGGAGCTCCCGGCCTGGCTGACAAGATAAGTTGTGGTGGCAGAAGGGCAGGATGATAACCCGGGCGTGTGGCAGGGAACAAAACAGGGTCCAGGGTGAGAGGCAGTGAAGGGAAGCAGCCAGGGGAGCAGACACCCAGGGATTCCAGGCAGGTGAAGAGAGAAGGAGGACATCAACAGGGGACGGTATGCGGGGAGGGACAGAGACCAGAGGGCTGGGGCAGGAGTTGGAGGAACTGGTGAAATGCTAGCATGGCTGGGCAGACATGAGGTGATCAATGTGTCCTGGTTTGCCTGGGATGGTCCCGGTTTTAGTACCGAAAGTCCTTGTCCTGGGGAATTGTTCACTCTTGAGAAATGACTTCACGTCATTTCTTAGCCATTTTGCCCTACTTCTAGACTGAAAGTGACACATTTCCTCGAGTGGGAGGAGCATTGCTGGTTCCCAGTCCCCTTAAATTGAGATGTGTGGACAGGTGGTTGCCCGGCTTTCCCCAGGGATGCTGGTGGATTGTCCTGCCTCCGTGACTATTAGGACAGTGGCTATCTGACCCTTGCAGAGTCTCGGCTTCCCAGACAGCTCTTCCCTCCTCCGCCCGGGACATGTCTTTCTAGGGTTTCTCTGGCTGGGCCAACTTCTGCCTTCCCCCTGGAGTGTGTTCCCCTGTGTCAGCTCTCCCTGGGGGGATTCTGGAAAGCTGGTTAGCTATGAATCCATAAGGAAATGGGATGTGGGGCGCAGGCCTGGATGCTGTCTGTCTGTGGCAGTCTCACCTGTCCACGGAGATCTGCCAGTAACCCTCGACAGAAACAGGAACCCAGTTCAGACTTCCAGTGTAGTAAGAAGAGTCAATGCCACCAAATATCACCACGCTGCCACTGTGGTCATCGCTGTGGAAAGTGAGGGAAGAAGACATGAATTTCTCTGTTCGTTCATTTGTATGAACATCTGCTGTTGGCTCCTCAGAGCTCCCCTTGATTGGGCACTTGGCAGGCTGTCCTGGGGTGTGACAAATGTGGTTTCTTGTCCTCTTAGGCCAGGGCCCACGCAGTGGACACTGTCACTGTTATTTCCACTTACCATGCGGACACTGAGCCTGAGGGAGGTGAGGCCACCTGCCCAGGGTCACACAGCGGGGGAGTGGTGGAACTACGTTTGGAAGAACATGGGTCTTTTAGGTTGAGTGTGTGGTTTCCACCGTGGTACTCACTCTAGTTGCCATGGCGACCCCAGGGATGTGAATGGGTGACAGTGTCGGCTCTTAAGGACTTGATGGTGGAGATCTCTTGTTCTTAGCTGGGAGCAGTTTTGCCCCCAGGGGAATGTCTGGAGACATTTTGGATTGATTGGGTGGGGGTAGTGGATGCTACTGGCATCTAATGTTTAGAGGCTGGGGATGCTGCCAAATGTCCTACAATGCATGGGACAGTCCCTGGCAAGGACTTATGCTGGTCTGAAATGTTAATAATGCCCAGATTGAGAGACTCAGATCTAGCTGGGGAGATACAACGGCCCCACGTGAAATATTTAAGTGCTCATAAAGGCAGATTCTATTTCAGAGCCACCTTGAACATCAACTGGCCAAGAGGAACACATGACAAAGAGCCTTCCTGTTGTAAATTGTAGGAGTCCTTGTTATTTCAATATTCATTTTCTAAATCTTTGCAGTTTCAGGGTAGATGCAGAACAAATGTAGATGGCAATAAGAAATTAGTCATCGGAGAACTGGCCATGTATAAAAC